GATAATAATAAGTCTGATGTATGGGATACTATCTATCATACGGATGTAAGGCCTTTATCAAGTCTCGAAAAGGAGAACAAATTTTCTAGTAAACATTTTACTACTGGAAATTTGCTTAAACCAAGGAATAATTATGGTTTCGACTCTGTTGCAGGTATGAAGACAAGAATCAGTTGTTTGTATTAGTATGCGATAGAGTCTATTTATAATATTAACATTTTCATTATCTTATTATCTAGTGACTCAAAATTTTGAATACTTGTAATTTTATTACAGCTTATACAGGATTAAACACATACTTTTTATCGTCAAAAAGTCTATATAGAAAACGTTTCGATGGTAGTATTAGTGTGTCAATACAGGTCGAATTAGTAATGTCTATGTACTGTATATGCATTAACATTCTTAAGTTATTACAACAATGGTCGAGTCTATCGAAAGTCTGGGCGTTTTATGTATCAATATGTGATTTGGGGCAGACTGCAACAAAGTGAACGTTTTATTATGTGACATAAATGAAAGCTGAAGTTAACTAATTTGACTAACGCTAATAATAATAACACTAAATGAATATGAAGTCGTAACATAGTTAACATAGGATTATAAATATAATATAAAACTAATTTATATTAAATCTGCTATGGAACCTAAAGCTACAGCATAATCAGAAGCATTTTAAGAAAATAGGATCGCAGGAGAGGGTTTCTGTTAATTCATACTTATATTTAATGTTACTTATGTTGATAGGTGTGTTTCATAAACGCTTGAAGTTTATTCTTTTATCTAAAATTTATTATGCCAATATACAGTCTTGAATAATAATCGTGTATTTACCGCCCAGAAAGATCCACTCCCCAAGGTCCGTACATTATACTTACGAAATCGCCAAGGTGTTTAATGACGCCTCGTCTACTCACCAGCTTCCGGGCTCCGATAAGCCTATCTAATATCCATCGACAAATAACGATCTGCCCATATTAATAATATCCTCCGTCGAATAATGATAAGTTATCCCACCAGCATATCCACCACACACACACCGGCATACCCCAAGACTATGCCGGATATCCCACTGTTGAGAATAAAAGTCAGGGAAACTGTCCTACGATTATAATTCAGGCGGTTAGGTAGACCCTCTGTTAACGTTAAAGCTAGCGGTTTATTGTTATATCGTTATGCTGATCACGTGGGTTATCACGATCATAAGCTAGGAAAACTTGGTGGTGGGTTGACCCTTGGGGGATCGGGAAGTCGTAAGCATATAAAATGATTCTTGTCCATGACCTTTTCTCTAATCCTGTTGTTGGTTGTTCTTTGGACATATGTATAAAGGATTTGGTTTTACAGGTGGCTGACTGGGTAGGGGGGGATTACTATAATTTAATGTACAGCAAGTTGTTAAAGGAGATTCATATGAATATACCCATAATAATATATGATTGCCTTATGTTAGGCTTTGGGTGTGAAAAAGGAATAAAATTATGACTTGCACGTTATTTAATATTTACACTTGCCTGAACATCATTGACATTTCTAGCAACTACTTGCGCATGAATTGCTCAGGTAATCATGACCATCACGCACTTATCCCACATAGAGACTCGTTCTTTCTTTGAATAAAATATAAATTAGAAAATCAAAAAAAACCATCATGGCCATTGACCAGGGTCCGCCGTTATGTCGCTGCTTGCGTTCAGCTCTGGTCTTTTACTAGATCTTTCTGCAGATTTCAAGAAATTATATGATTCTGGTGAAGACTACGACGTTGTATTTAGAGTTGGCGTGGAGGAGAGTGAGTTTAGGGCTCACGCCAGCATCTTGAAAGCGAGGTCAGCTTACTTCAATGCTGCATTTTCGAACATGTGGGCGAGGAAGGAAGACGGGATGTTTGTATTTACGAAAGACAATATATCGAGCGTTGTATTTGACCAAATACTCAAGTAAGAATCAATGACTTTGGGTTACATTCTCGACGGTATTATTGGATCTGATACTATCGCTTTCACTGCCATAATACAGATTTGTCTATAGCGGGTCAATAAATCTGGATACAGTAGAGACCAGGACATTACTTGAACTTCTCATTGCCGCCGATGAACTGGAGCTGCAAAGTTTGATCAACTATGTACAAATTCATCTCATCAGCAAGCGTACAAACTGGTTGCGTCGACGAATTAACATGGTCTCGGTTCTGCATATAGTGTGCGAGCATGAACCATTTGATCAACTACGAGAATATGTCCTGGAATATATCTGTCGGGATGCCAAGCCGTTTTTTGAATCAGAAGAATTTGTCACTCTAAAGGAAGATGCATTGGTCCTTATATTAGCGCGAGATGACCTGGAACTAGAAGAAGTAAGAATATGGGACAATGTTATACGATGGGGATTAGAACATACTGAATTACCACTCAGCGCGAACAACATAGAGTATTGGTCGGACGCAGACTTTGAAGCGTTGAAAACAACATTACGGCACATTATTCCTCTCATTCGATTTTTTTACTTGTCACCTATGGAATTCGAAGCTAGAGTTCTCAGATTCTTTCGTAAACTGATTCCTTGCAGTATGCAATCACGCGTATATGAATACTATTCTAACCCGAATATGCTTGATGCCAAGTCAATTGTACCATTGCCTCGAGTATCAGCCTTTCCTTTCGATTCTTCTATAATATCAGCGAAAGATGTTGCCCAGATAGCCAGTTGGATAGATAATAGACGCAAGCAACCATACAACTATGCGCGCATACCATACGAATTCAAGTTATTACTTCGAGCATCGCGCGACGGGTACGGTGTTGATACGTTTCACAAATTATGTGATGGATACGGACCGACAGTTGTAGTATGTAGAGTGAAGGAGACGGGAACTATCATTGGAGGTTTTAATTCGTTATCCTGGCACGGCTATTATAAATGGGGTCCTCGCAGATTTGCATATAGAGAGGAACGCAAAGAGACATCGGATAGTTTCCTATTTACGTTTGGTGACACTAGAACGAGAGCACATACACGAGTTGTCAAGGTCAAGTCACAAAATGCGGACGAAGCAATAATATGGGATGGCGGGAAAGGACCTTATTTTAATAGTGATTTAATGATGGCATATTCACCTTTGGCAAACGGGAATCATAACTGGAGATGTCAGCAATTGGTAAGTCGTTGGATGAAAAAGTGAACATGTGATTTCTATATCTTTATGTAATTGTTACAGACGATATACATCCATACGCAGGCTTACGAATCCCCAATTCTCGATGGTCCGTCATCCATATTTTCCGTCGATGAATATGAAGTATTTCTTGTCGTGGAAAAGCCGTTTATGCTTGTCTCTTGGTCGGTCAGATTGCTACGAATTGTCAGATGGGCGAAAAGATACTTTACTAGATGGTGGGACTATGTTGGATTAAGTAATATCTAAGTAAACTATAAATTAAACAATAATATTAACTATAGTCGATATCAATCAAGCTTTAGTTATCATAATACATTTAAATGTTACATCTAATTTTCGACGTGAAGGACGTTAATATGAGAAAAACAGTATTAGGGAAACAAGACGAGCTCCTGAAGAGTGAATTATATTATTAGTTTTCACCTTAGCTTCATTTCTTGCCCCGTATCGAGTCTTCTGTATCTCATAACTTACATAACTCTCCAATATTATATTTCTTCACCTTATTATACAATAACTTCTGACCACACTTAGACCACAAAGGAGGTCATCTAATGGTAATTTATACTGAATTGACGGATAATCATAGATATCTTAAACATTTCAATTATAATAACAAGTTCAGAATCATTCAAGTTGACTACATGACCACTTCTTGATCTGATGATTTTTTTTTTGAACCCAAGATAACAAACGCAGATACATTTTAATATCCAGAATGTAGAATATATAGAATGTCCATGATATCCTATGCTCACCTTTATCTATCGTTTCTCATTCTCTCCTTCAGAATAAAATATAGCTTAAATAATTTCTTAGCCATACACACTCAATCTCTTCCACAATAGCATAACGGGTTTTCTCAATCCGAATAAGACGATGAATGAATCTAGTTAATTTTTGTCTAGTTAAATCGCCCAAAATCGCAGCACAAGTTTTACAGGAGCATCGGGGCCTTCCACCTTATAAATATGACTGTTTTGATCGAGACGCTAATACCTAAGCAACGAATGGATAAGAGGGTCAGCTGCAGAAAAGTCAATCGGTATAGACATAGATCGACTCGATTTTGCTGTCAATTTTTAGTCGAGTGATTCCTCAATTGGTAGATGCAAAGTAAAAAGAGCCGACAAAAAGAAAGAACAGCTAACAATCGATAGTATACTTAACATCAGTCTTGTGGTGACAATTATTAAAACTGTTTATCCGTTATTATATTAATATGTATTATTGTTCATTTCTTATTTACTTAATACATTATAATTAGTCATGATCAAAAATACTCTTTTCTTTATATTGCATTTAATATCTCGTGAGATTTGGATTGACTACTACAAGATGTTCGCTTTTTTAGATTATTGTAATCTAATCTGCTAATCTATCATCTAAAACGTTAAATTCGTATACGTCTAAAGGAAGCCACTTTTCATTTTGATTTTTCTTTCAAACAAAAATATTTTTAAAAGCAGTGAGAACAAAATTGATATATTAAAAAAAATACTAGTCGCCGTTATCTTCGCCGGAGATTGCTTCCCATCCGCAACATTCCATCAAAAACTGCGGCAACGAGCGTTATTGGTTTTCGGAAAATGCTTTTCCACCTCCGTAGCCAATAAGATGATCATTTTCTTAAATTGACTTATTTATCATTGTCCAGAGAATATGGAAAGGATAATCAATCAGTATATAAAAGCTCCCCTTCCGCAACAAAATCTTCCCAGAATCCTTGGACGAATAAGCAATGCAGAATAACACCAGACGATATAATCGTTATTCCGGTTCGAGCAGGGGAAATTCCCCTAGTTCATCGAGAAACCTAAATATGACCGAGACAGACGTGATGGAGTTGCCCCCGGCTCGAATAGGTTTTGTTATCGGAGCTAAGGGGAAGACAATTGCTGAGATTAGGTAATAATAATTACTATAAATCGTCTAACAGGTTTAAATTATTGTTATATCAAATGATGATGTAGTAATAATAATATGATGGTATTGAGAAATGTGTTCTATTAACACCTCGCACTTTATCTTCCTCCTCCCTATTAAAGAGAACAATCTAAAGCGCATATATACATCGATGGTCACAAAGCCGTCATCCGTGGCAGCGAAGAAGCAAGAAAAGAAGCCATGCGTCTTATCAATCGAAAAGTGCGCATAGAAGTCACTTTACATCCACACATTGGGTATACTGTTCTCGAATTACCAGAGTCCGATACACTCCCAAAGCTCAAGTTTATTCCATATAACGATGTTGACTGTAACGCTCATACCCACGGAAAACGATTATACCGTGTGAAATGTTGTGATAAAGACGAAAAGGAATTTGACATTTTTAGCGCACTTGGAGACAGTTGGGATAGTGAAATCAACCTTTTGTCATTATCCCCAAGTTCCCCAATCCAGTCATCTCCTCTACCCTTATCACCTTCCAGCCCTTCAACTTCGTCGTCTCGCTCTTCTCAACGTCTTTTCGAGCATTCACATTCTCGTTCATCATCTGTTACTTCTGTTACTTCCTCCCCCCCACCTTCCTCTCCTATAATATCTTCTTCTCTTCAAAATTCTCTGAGAGCCTTAACCGATCGTCTCTCGACGCTTTCCATATCCCTTGAAGAATCCTTAGCTTCATCCGCTTCCACTTCTACTTCTACTCCCACATCCGCTACTCCCACATCCGTCACGCCTACTCTCACTCCCGCTCCAACTCCCGCTCCGACTCCCGCTCCGACTCCTATGCGTCTTCCGGGGCCCCCGAAAGACGCTCGAACGTTCACAATCATGCATTACATACCCGAAGTGATCTCCGCCGTATCTTCGCACCTCTTCAAAGCCAATCCTAATATCTCACTCCAACACGAGGCACGCTTGACGGTTTTCTTTGGTCGCCAAACATTTTCGACAATCTCTCATTCACGCATGAAGACAGTAGAAGATTGGTGTGACCTGAATAGAGAGAGGCACGGCTTTCAAAGTAGTTTTCAGCACTATGCACCGGATATGATAAAGAGAATTTGGAATGTTTTGCAGAGGTTCGGATTTGAGGAAGTTACCCATAGCAGACGAAAAAGAAGTAGTATGAATAATGACGTAAAGACTGATACCAACGATTTCGTAACAAATGGCGAGAAGAACGAAGACAATGAAGGAAATAAGAATGTCGACAACGACGTTGGAAGAAAAGGAAGTGTCTGTATAACCTACGATGACGAAGATAAAGTCAGAAAGAAAATTAAGCTTCATTGGGATTACGAAGAAGGTAAACTTATTCCTACCTTGCGCATCTATCATAAGAATAATGTATTTTTTTATTGATCGATATTTCTGGCTCAATATTTAGGCGTATACAAAATAACCAAAACAACTACACAAATTCGTCGGGTTGCAATTATTGACATTGTCTCTGGGACATCTGCGCCTGATATACGTTTCCTACTCAAAACACATAAAGACGAAGATATTGATGAAGAAAAGGAAAGGCTTATCAGCGATGCACAGACACCACCACTACAACTGTTTGATGGAACTTACTTCCAATCGAAGCATTTGAAAACGAAGCTTGATGTTGACTCAATCAGGCAATCGATTACGAAGCGGAAATTTTTGTGAGTTTATGTTCTTGTCGTGTAAGAAGTGATTATTAGTTTGACAAACAATGTGTTACTAATATGAAAAAATTAAATTAAACTAAATTACAGAAACAACAGATTTCAGTTAAGTGTAATCACCACACGAAAAGAAGTACGAGCATCTCGAAACAAATTCGCGGCTCCTGTAGAAGAGCAAACAATTAATCTGAAGCATCTTTCATGGAAAATGTATCAAACGAACGACGAAATACGTCAAGTTTACGATAAAGAATCGCTTGAACATAGCATTAGAGAAACCGTGGCGTTTGCAAGAAAGCTTTGTAGAATTCTTGAGTCTGAGGCATAAGTTATGATTGATAGCAACATTAGAATTTTGAGTATAGGGTTTCAGTTTTAATAAATATGACATATTTATGCAGAAATCGTCTTGCAAATATATAATGAATTTATGTACATGTAAAGAAATGTAATGTGCACTCTACGTATCGACTTGTTGGGGATACATGTCATCCCATATGCAATCCAAGTCTGCCCGTCTAATTTTCAAGACTTCAACAAAGCATTCACATCTGCAAACTATGACGGTTCTCTTGAGTAAAGTTTTGTCGCTCGTCATCAGTTTCAGAACTTTCACCGTTCTCGTTAGCGCGTCCAGCAACACTCATTTCAATCTTCGCTTCTTCATCTTGCAAAAACACCTCGCTATCGTTTCCCAGACCTCCAGTTATCCTTCTTTTCGCAGCTTCTTTGGCTATTTTGTTAGTCTTTTGGTATACATAGTAAGTGGCTATTATAAACAAGAGGCCGCCGATGGCGATTGTGAGATAATTAACCAATTTCGATGTCTTGTCCATGTTTTTAAGAGATAGATTGCCGAGCCGAGAACCGATGAAGATATGGGCGAATAGTTTAGGAAGGGAAAGAACAGTTGCGAGAAGAAATGTTGGGAAAGAAACTGTGTGCAAGGAGGCGAAGAATGCATTGGAGTAGGTGAAGGGAAAGGGACTAAGACGGATTAAAAAGATAATCTTTTAAATGAAACAAGAGGCAGGCAAAACGCGAATAGATGCAAAAAGTAAGAGCGTTAGTGACAATTATAATGTTTTGGCATGAAAATACAACCACAGCATCGCTTGGTTTATGTAGTCGAGCGATGGTTAATACTAACTTTAAATCCACCCTCTTGAACAGCCACGGATAAAGCAGCAAAATTCCCCCGATTAGCGAGTAACCGCCTTACATATTTTTTAAACGCTTTTCTAAACAGCCTGTGAGGTTACAAAAAACAATTATAAACTATTTAGACAGCCTGACGGTATCTAGTCTTCTGATTCAACTTATTAAACAAGTCTGTACTTTACCAAAAAGAAGCAGTTGCTCCGATGACTGCTCCTGCAAACGCTGGAACAAAACCTAGTGGAAAGCCGTAGATAAAACCGCAAGCTAGAACTAACGCGCTGTAGCTGCGAATAATCATAGAAAAGTATAGATCTGAATAAAGATGCTCGTCGCATAAAAAGATCGATATTCATTGTGCAAGTCTACATACAACAAATACATACCCCGGAATTGGAGGAAAACTCGAGAGAGCAACCAATCCACCCATGATCAAGTAACCATATCGTGTTGACCGAACACTTTCTGCGAATGGTGCAAGCGCTGTTTTGCAGACAATAAATACGATTTATAAATATCACGAACAGATAATTATTTCACATACAAGTGTAGTTTTTTGTTATCCACTCGACAACGAACCAACCAAGCTGCTCCCTACCTTTCATGATCGGTTCTTCAAATACAAAGAACAACACGACCAGCGCAATAACTAGCAGTGTCCCTATTGCCAATAGCCATCGTTGCTTTGGTGATAAATGAATAAAAAAGTCTTTTGAATTTTGTATGAAACCCATGTCTTGCATGCAAGTGTATAGTGTTTAGACGTGTAATTGCTGTAGCATGTGAACCGAATATTTTCAGACTGCACTATGTATTGCTTTGGTGAGGAGGTTGGTCAAGCGATTAATACTGTTTTACAACGAGAGTGTGCAAACGTTAGGTTAACGATATATCAAAGAAACAAGTATTTATGAAACAAGAACATGAATTTCGATGTTTCAAAAAATGGTTCAGCCACCACTCACCTTCGTCCTTCGTAATGAACTTTCATCCGAAAGGGTTATTTGTTCGTCCTCTATCCGTATCATGTTAAATATAGGGATGTTGCAACAAAGCAGGTAATCTTATTGCCGAGTTATTTCTATTCTTGATACAATACTTTAACTAGTTTCATGCATAGCGCACGCCACAGCGTATTCAGCCCCTTGACCATAAAATTGGCTAAGCCAGAACGGTCAAAACATTAAAATTTACAAAACACGCCAACGGTACAAAATCGCCATGTCAAAAAACGCGGGCAGTTTTTTGAGTAAGAAGCACAGGTGTGCACACAAGCTACTAACATAAGTCCACTTGGGATTTTTTTGTTCTTATCAAAAAGTGAAGACAGTTTAATGGTATTGAAATTTGGCAATAGTAATAGCGCGATTGTATTCCCAAGAAAAACTTTTACGGAATTGACAGGATTGAACTGACGTTGAACTGAAATTATGTTTTCTTATCGTGTACGCTTTTTACAGAAAATCAGGTGAATGATTAAGACCAAAGTCTTATACATACATACACGTCCGTTTTCCATAATTAATTAGAAACGCATTCTACTTCTCCATCATTTTGATGCCATTTGGGCCAATTATTTAATATTCATAATTTATATTCCTTTTGCGTAGTTTATAATTTTTCTGGGAGTATAGTTGAAGCCGCTTAGCTTTGGCTGGCGCTGAAATTAATGCTTCGCGCTGAAAGAAATTATATTAATATTATGACTGTAGGGCTGCATGTTAGAAGCTGATTTGCTTTAATAAAGACTACAGTTATTAGTATGTAAATGGCTGGCCTATTCACCAAAGTTAACGGTGGCTGCTCAAGCTTTTGAGCGACATTATTTCAATTTATTATTAATTAATATTAATTGAGCAAATGGTCAATTGAGTACTTACCAATGTGGGTTTTGGGACAAAAGATTGAAGGATTAGAGCTTAACTCCCCATTTTTTAAAATTTACGTTAGGCTTAATTTTTCGTATTCACCGAAATTGACGACAACTTTGCATTTACATTCAAGGAAATAACCTCTAAATCCTAACCTTTTTCGTTAAACTTGACAGCAAAAAAAAAAAGAGTTAACAACTAAATCGCATGTTTTTTGTCCCAACTTTTTCGTTAGTCTAGTCATTGCAATTTTTCGTTAGCCTTTTTTTTTTCGTATTTAGCCGTACGGCAGAGGCTAACTCGCTAGTTTTAGCGAAAAAACTGTCATTGCTTCTCTGCAGGCCGTATGGCAATGGGTTACACAGGGAAAATGGTTATTTGTGGAGCAATGCCGCTTACGCGACCTCGAAAAAAATAGGGTAATTACATCCAAAGTTTTGGCATTTAATCTACGATAGTATTGAGACACATACAGTCAACTCTCTCTATACCGGCCTTGCATATACGGTTTTGCCTTTATACCGGTCCAATTTCGCAGAACCAAAAATTATAAAATTCCATATTAATCTTACCCCTTATAACGGCAGATTTTAATAACTCTGTTTATACCAGCTCCGACACGAAATCATGTAGACCAGTTTATATAAAAAATTTTACTTTATACCGATGAAGTCAAGTGATTATTTGTATACTAGGAAACAGGAACCGTTATCAAGGCTCCTTTCTAACCATTCCTTGTCGGTGACAATTGATGTCATCGTTGTTATTGCTGCCGTTATGAGTCTAGAGCGAAAATTCAAAGTAACATCATCAAAATACGAATTACAACCTAAATCAACGCTTGACACAGGAAATAGAAAGAGCAAATAAAGCCACCCTCGACAATGGGGCATTGTGGAGAACCAATGCAAATATACAAAATGCGTGGCGCGCATGTGTGAAGAAGATTATAGAAATAAAAACTTAATGCACGTTTTCTGGAGAGTAAATTTTGAAAATAATAAAACCCGATTATTATCTGAAATTTTCCTCTCAAAAATAAAGCCCAACCACGTGCTATTCCGTATAGCAAATATACCAAGTGGGAAAATAAAACAAGAGCAAAACACGCCAAATATACAAAATGGAAATTGAGACTAAAATTAGTTTATGATGCTAATTTAGAATTGGAAGACCGAATTAATTTTTTAAACCAAAGAATTTTTGATTTACAGAATAATATACCGCCGCAAACCAAAACATGGCAACTTTACAAGACAGTCAATGGCTGCCTACTTATATAGTTAATTCAATGTTTGAAGTATAAAATGTTAAAAATTGAAACATAATTATTATGTACAATTTTGTACAATTAATAAATTTTGGGTGTGCGATACTTTTGTCCAGGTAGTGTATATTCGATTATATCTGATATGTTGACCTCTGGGGCCAGCTTTACTGACAGAGAATTCTTTCCAAACATTGTGGCTTTCTTTTTGCGGAGTAAAATACACTAACTCACTCAAATAATTCCGCAATACATGACGGACCATTACTTTAGATCGAAGTACAGAACGTTAAATCTCGCCGATCAAAGCATCTTGCTTCATTATTTCATCCTAGGGTAACACCACCAAGTGAGTATTTGTAAATGTAAAATAGTAGGACATATACACATACATGTAAAATGGCCATCAATCTGAAAATTGACTTGAATTTATCCCGGCCATGAAAACTGAAGGGTATCATTGCGGTTGCAAGTTTAGATGAAAGGAATCGGCCATCTGGCAGCATGTTTAACGCGTACAGAGTCATTCTAGTGCCTGAAAAAAACAAACAAAATATAAGTATCAGAAAATTCAATCGCACTGTCATACAGATACTATTACTTACCAATGACCTGAGTGCAAAATACTCTAATCTTTGTAGCGAGATCTACACTGCAATCGAAGTGGTTTCGCAATATTGCAATTAAATTTAACACATCCAATCGTAATGTTTTCTTAGTATCTCCCAAGACGTGTGTGTCATTTGCGTTACAAGGTCCACCAGCGACTTCCATATGCCATATTGTGAGGATCAAGAGTCTAAGATGACGTATTCCTCTCTGAATTTGCTGCGGAACGATAGGTGTCACCAACAACGGTA